GTTCGCAGGTGTGCGTACGTCTTGCAAGTCCTCAGAAGGCAGCCTGCCTGACATCACTTTCTATCCTGTCAAGATTATGTCGACGACGAACTGCCTAACTACCGATGGCTCGAGTTTCACAGACTAAAAAAATTACATGGTTGCTTCTTGCATGCTGTCTGGCATAATAACAGAATAACTCTCTTTACCTGATGCAAAGGGTCGAAGTTTCCTCTTTAAGCAATAATACTCAAAAGGCTGCATAGCAAAAGAAGCCTTAGATTGAGCTTTAGATATCTCGATACTAACAAGGAAGTCTGAAATACAACGTGAACGTCATTCTTCCAGTATACTTGAGTAGCCATAGCACTGCAGGCTTAAAATTCGCCAGGGTTTAGGTTAGACTGCGTCCTACCCTCGCGAGAACTTGAACAAGCAGAAACATAAGTGCATGATGACGGAAGTCAGTAATAGCAAAGCAAATCGTTTTCACAGTCACCAAAGCCTTAACTAGCGTGCCTGAGTGGCAATGTTTTCTCAGTGTCTTCACCCTATATTATTGAATTTAGCTTCAAAAGGGGTAAGTGTAAGTGCATGCCAACAAAGCACAAAACAATTAAACAGCTTTTGACAACTTTGTTTCATCATAAGGCGCTGTGCACGGTATTTGAAGATTTTGGGCGGCTGTTATTCACATTGAAAGACCATGTTGCGATGCCGATGGAGGTACAAAAAAGCGGCAAGTTTCAGCGTCCCGGTATGTATTACCTGAAAACAGCACATCAAGCAAGGCTAAGGAACAACTAATATTCGCATGCCTTTTCTGTCGCGTTGGCTTATACGCGCACATATTCTTGTACCACAAGCGGGCCAGTGTGCATCGAGGAGAGACCGAATGAGCATTTATACCGTTGGATACGGCTGAGGAACGTGGTCATGCAAGGAAACTCGTGGATGTAGTACAGCAGAATAAGGAAGTAAGCTTCTAATGCTGAAGCACAGCGCGTCAGATATATCCGCAACAAAATGAAGCTGGACTACTCATATCCTATTATATTTTGTTACATAAAGCTTGACTGGTATTATTGTAGCTTCTAAGGATGGGGGTCTACGGCTTCAAAAAAACAGAGCTTGAACGTTTATTGTTATTGCTGAAATGGGGGTTTAAAATTCATTTAGCCAGAATTCCACCTTTTGTAGACAAGCTGTACGGAGGCGCAACGAAAGCATACTAATTTATTATTTATTTGAAACTTACCAGCAGCTGAGAGACTTAGCTAGAAGGAAAAAATACTGTGCTTCTTATATAATACAGTTTTGCTTATTCAAAAGGTTTTTTGTTGAACAACAACAGTTCTATTCATATCACTTTTTCTACTTGGGTATAAGTTTGGGGCTAATATTAAATGACATCTTTTTTTGCCTGCTTTCTGCTCAACTTTTGGCCTCCTTTACAAATCCACCCAATTACAACCCTATCTGTGCGCATCCTCAACCAGTGGTTCCTCGCTCCATGTACCTTGAACGATATCCCAGTGTGAACTGCCCCAACAGCGGACTGTCGGCAACATTGAGCCATGTGTTATCGGAATGTGAAGCCATCGGTTCCACCTTCAGGGAGGACAGGTGGAAAGTGCTCTTGCGCAATCCCAAACTAAACTACGAAACCATGGCTGTCCGAAATGCCCGCGACCGGGCCGCCAAGCTCGGCTTGGCGGTCCCTGCGTGGAACTATAGTCGGGTGGCGTAGGGTCTCCCCCGAGTCATCTCTGGATTAAAATGAAGTTTCAATTGTCATCATCATTGAAGCGTCCGCCTTTGTCTTATAAAAGTGCGCCGATTCTTCACCATACATTATTCACCCACTCGGGCTTGTCACGTCATTGTCTAATTTGTGGGGCTAATGCAGATTGTTTGAAGCGCAGGTTTATTGTGCAGTGCCATGCATGCTTTTTGAGGATAAGGGCGGATGAAGGGACCTGATCTTGCAATTCAAGAACAGTTTATTTGTCATCGTGCCTCCAAAAATCCTCCGACCATTGGCAGGCCATTATGAGAACTATGACATCACGTTATGCCATTTTTGCAGTCGTTGCGAACCTTGTCTTTGTTCGGACATAATCAACCAAAGGGGAGGGGGGCATGAACAGGTCTCGGCAGTGAAACTTGTACCGCTGTAATGGGAACCCCACTCATGCCTATGAGTAAATTTTTTATGCGCTGCCACATATTACGCGTTGAGCATTGTTCAACGTTTTATTACTCGTAGTTTATATTTTTAGATCAGGAACTCATTACTATAAACACGGCTATAGTTCAAGGACGCACTCGGCATCATTATCGGCTGCACTGAATAGAACTTTGCGATCCAGCCAGCGTGACCTTGGCTCCATAAAGGCTTTTTTTTCTGACACTTGAAGCACTACTTGAAGGCCGTGGAAACAAAGAAAAAAGCTGCTTTACAGTGTGCTAGAACAAGGGAAGTGCTCGGAACGATCTTCGAAGAGTGAAGTCCAAACAGCGTCAGGTCACTTGCGGCGTTGTGATCAATGTAGTCTGCAATGTGTCATTGTATAAGAGTGGCGCATGGCTCTACCAAAGTGCAGTCGTATATATAATGCCCGCTTCTCACTAAAAAAGCATGGGTTCGAATCACAGCTGTATATGGTAAAATGTTTATTTTTAGTGTCACTTGTTACAGCTTAATCAGTTTGCCTTTCAAAATGATTCTAGCTCCAGTTGATTTTACTGCTACAAAAAGCAACATGAAATCAGAAGGGGAAAAGAAGAACTTCCACACTGAATTAAATTGTTTGTGGTGCCATCTCATGGCATTATACAAAAACGTATGATATGGCCTCGTCTATTTTCGCGAATGCGAAGCTCGAAACGAGAATTTACAACTTCAGTCACTTTTTGTAGCAATATGTAGCATCTGAAGCTGGTTTTAAGCAACAAAAGAAAACCAAGTGACACTAAGAATGAAGCTCTCTCACAGTACGATACGAACAAATGTCTTCTAGGTTGCTTTGCTCGAATCCGGGCTCTTTGAGTGGGAAGCAACCAATCTACAGCTGCACCACTTTGGCGTAGCCGTGCGAAACTCTAAAATGACAACACATTGCGGACTACCAATCGCAGTGCAACAAGCAGCTTGACCCTGCTTGGGACTCCCATTCTATGCCTTGGTGCGGAACCGTTTTGAGCACTCTCCTGTTCTAGTGCACTCTAACTAAATACACAGGGTGAAGGTCAACACGCGCAACCAATGTACCGAAGAACGACGTTAATAAAGCGTACAGACGACGCCACGGCTTGGCTTTTAGAGGTATGGAAGATTCGGCCGCGGTATACCGCGTCCGGATCTTCTGTGGCGCTGATCATGGATGGTGTTACTAGAACCCAGTAACTGGAACCCAGGATGGTGCTACTAGATCATGGTGTTGCTGCGATCCAATACACACCTTACGTAAGCGGTGCTGACAAACGCGTTAAAAAACATCTCGCATACGACATTCACTTTCGTATCGTGATACGCTCCTCTCAACTAGAAGTATTCTGGCGCGCTCGCCTGCGGCGCACGCAATGTCACGATGGTGCACTGCACACCCAAGGTTTGCGCATGTCCAATATTGGCGTCCGTTGGCCGTCATAACCTTGAGTTTCTTCTAATATTTGCTTGAGGCACTGCCGCGGTGGTCTAGTGGCTAAGGTACTCGGCTGCTGACCCGCCGGTCGCGGGTTGGAATCCCGGCTGCAGCGGCTGCATTTCCTACGGAGGCAGAAATGTTGTATACCCGTGTGCTCAGATTTGGGTGCACGTTAAAGAACCCCAGGTGGTCGAAATCTCACGAGCCCTCCACTACGGTGTCTGCCATAATCATATGGTGGTTTTGGGACGTCAAACCCCACATACCAATCAATCAATATTTGCTTGAGGAGACACTGGCGCTGCCGTCATTCATTCGCCATGAGAAATATTAGCAGTGCATAAATATTCATTGATTGATTGATTTACCTAACCGTCGTGCTTGCGGCATCGAACACGCTAGTGGCTTTGTGTATTGTTTTAGCTTTCGTTTCTGGTCAATCAATGGCTTCTTAAACTCGTGAGCCGACTTGAATTATTCAGCATAAACTCGTGAGGTCATGATATGGGGACTGCTGACAGTCTAGCGACAAAGCGCCTGCAGACAACACGGAGCCTAAAAAAACTAAGCTTACGCAAACCTATGTAGCACCCATCATTCCCACGCTGCTGAAGCGACATGCGTGTCAGCTCCCACGGTAGTTGTCTTCAAATTTCACTCTTGTGTACTATTGCGAAACAATGGTTTAACTCGCCCGGAATGCCCAAAGCATAGAGTTTCCTAAAATTAACTAGAGGGGACTCTGGCGCTGCGATCGTTCAGCGATCATGGGAATGATGAGTAGTACACACTTTTGCCTTGTCTTCGTACTTGCGGGCGGCGAATCGCACTTGAGGCTTTCTTTATTGCAGGTTTCAATTTCGTTTTGAAAGAAACAACGAATTCTTTTCAATTTTGTCACCCTATTCGAAATGGTAAGACTCAAATGATAAGGTGGTGAAGGACAACCGCTGAACATTTGCCGATCTTTGTTTCGTGAGACAACAGCTCCAAGCCACATGAACACACACGAAGCCAAAAGCAGGCCAGAAATACGAAGGATAGACAAATTTGTGTACTACCCATCATTTACATGCTCGCTGAAGTGCCGTGCGTTGCAGATCCCACAGACAGCGCCAGAGGTCCCCCTAGTGTATATTAGGAAACTGTATGCATGCATGTAAAGTATGAAAGCGCACATGGTGCTATAATTTCGTGAATTAGCAATGTAATCTCTATGCTTATCGGCAATTAAAGAAATAGCAGGATGCTTTCTCAACTATATGTCTGATCTATCTGTGTTTCCGCTTCTCATGGTGCCTGTTGTACAACTTGTGAATGACCAAAATGCAGACATAATCGCTATGCAAATGGAAATGAAGAGGCACGACGGGAAGGCGAAGATGGGTACAATGTTTAATAGCTGCAGCGAAGGACTGGCTTTTCAGTGACATCCCCACATATTAGCGCGGAAGGTGGGCTATATTAACATCAAAATGATTCTCGTGCAAAACGACTGCAGTAAAAGTTAAAAAAAAAAGCGCAATGACTGATGAACGTCACGCTTCCGTCGGAAGCACTCTCGCTAAGTGTAAAAGTGAAAACAAGCTTCATACATACGCCTCAAAAATAAAAAGACATGGTACTCAAAAGATAGCGGAGAGTGATTAAGATAATGTAGTTGGGCAGACAGGCAGCGAAAAATTCACTTAGAAAGGACATTCACGTACATTTCATTGCGAGTGTTCGAAACAAATTGAAACCAAATTTGTAATTGGGTCCCAGTCTAAATAGCCATGGGTGGAGAATACCACGATTTCTGTGGTAATCGAAAAAGTGGTCTTCCAGGACGAAATCTTCGCTTTACAATGTATTCAGGACATGCACGTAAACTGAACCCATGGCGGTTTAAAGTGCAAGAGTGAAAATAAATGGCATGAAAAAAAGAAGGACAAGCTTCAGCTTCTGCCTGCGTCACTATCACGCTTCTGTCAAAAGATTCTGGAAAGATGACACCGCTCAGAGAGTGTGCTCGCGCTTAAGTCCGACATTAGTAGCACCCCCCCTTCTAGAAGCTGTATTTACACTTGAGCTTCGCCACACACCGCTTCCCTGATCGAATGAGGGTACCTCCATAGTAATTGCTGTCGATGTGTACTCGCTTAAGCTGTTCCAATACTTGTTCGTGTCGACCGCACCCACACTGGCACCCTCTTGGTTGTCATTGTATGCAGGGTTAAAATGCAACACAATGTCCCCGGTGTCATTGCTGTTGTTTGCAAACGATCCGGAGGTGCTCGAACTTGCTGAAGCCTCGATGTTTTCCACGAAATCCGGCAGCGGCCGGCCTTTGGTTTCTGGCCAGGGGAACACCACCAGTGTCGCGAGCAACATGACAATCGCGTAGAAGACGGCATCCCAGGTTCCATGGTTGAACTGCAAACGCAAGATCAGTGGTCAAGGGAACGTCAGGGAAAGCTGCTTTTGCCTGGTCATATGTACAATTGATGGATATGTGGGGTCTAACGTCCCGAAACCACCATATGATTATGACAGACGCCGTAGTGGAGAGCTCCGGATATTTTACCACATGTATAAGACAATAGATGCAGCGATGGCGTAGTGGTTAGAGTATCAGCCTCGCGTGCAAGAGGTCCGTGGCTCGAATCCTGGTGCCGCGAAGTTACGAACTGGATTTAAAAAGATTTTCCGCGTGAAAATACATTGCATTAAGAGGTTTGGGTGCGGCCACACCGGTGACACCAGAGAAGGATTGGCTACCCGGGTGCAGTATCTGGCCACTACACCCCACATGCATACGTAAATTAAAACACGGCCCTCAGTCCCAAACAGCTGCGAAGCAGCTGACCATGGCGGCAGTCCAATCTGCAATGCAGCAGAGGCTGCTAAGAATCTCTGGGTTTGGACAGACTACCATTGGAACCTGAACTTGACTAACATTTAGCGCTAGGCAACCTTATCTAGTGAGGCAAGTCTAGCTGTACTATTCTAGGAGCTAGAAGATGTTAAATGGTATGTAATAGGGCTCAGTGATGTTAAGAGGACAAATGAGGCCTATACAGTTTTACGGAATGGGCACGTCATATGCTATCGTGGCTTGGCTGACAAAAGATAACTCGGCGTAGTGTTCCTTGTCCAAATAAATATAGCTGGTAACATAGAGGAATACTATAGCATTAATGAAAGGGTGGTATGTATCGTAATTAAACTCAGCAAGAGATACAAGATGACGGTGGTACAGGCTAGTTCAAAGACGCTAGTTCAAAGCTTCTCTAAGGACGTGAAATGAGGACGTGAAGATACACGCTAGTTCAAAGCTTCTATGGGGACGTGAAATCGGCAATGAGTAAGGTAAAAACCCAGTATACTATACCCATGAGCGACTTTAATGCCAAGGTAGGGAAGAAGCAGGCTGTAGACCAGACAGCAGGATATGACATCAGCATTAGAAATGCCAGAAGAGAGTTGTTAGTAGAATTAGCAGAATGCAATAATTTACGGATCTTTAGTACCTTTTACCTAACGAGGGAATCGTAAGTCGACATGGAGGAGCCCTAATGGAGAAAGCAAAAACAAAATAGACTATATAAGTAGTGCGCACCCCGGCATCGTGCAGGATGTGGAAAAGCTTGGCAAGGTATGATGAGCGACCATAGAATGGTAAGATCTCCAATTCGCCTAGACTTTAAGAAGGAACGATAGAAACTGATACGCAAGAAGCCAATAAATGAGCAAGCACTGAGAGTGAAAGTACAGTAATTGAGAGTCTCGCCTCAGAACAGATACTCGGCTCTTGTCGAGGAAGCCAGCCTTAGCGTTGACGCAATGAATGATAATCTGACGAGTATTATTACGGAGTGTGCAGTGGAAGTTGGAGGTACGGTAATTAGACAGTACACTGGCAAGCTGTCCCAGGAGACAAAGAGTCTCATTAAGAACCGCCAAAGCATGAAAGCTTCAAACAACAGAAAAAATAAAACTGCCCGAGCTTTCAAAGTTCAATAATATGCGTGCGATGTCTGATGTAAGAAGGTATAACATGGACAGAATTGAACACGCTCTAAAGGACGGAGGAAGCGTCAAAGAGGTGAAGAGGACACTTGGGATAGGCAAAAGCCGGATGTATGCACTAAGGGGCAAGAAAGGCAAACTACCAATATGGATAGGATAGCTTTAATGGCGGAGGAGATTTACAGAGATCTGTATAGTAGCCGGGAATCCCACGACCTCACAATAAGAACCAGCATTAACCCAGATGGAAACCCACCAGTAATGACAGAAGAAGTCATAAAAGCCTTGGAGGGAATGCAAAGAGGCAAAGGTGCTGGTGAGGATCGGGTAACATCAGATCTGCTGGAAGACGGAGGGCACATTGTTTTTAAAAAACTGTTTACCCTGTTTACGAAGTGTCTCCTGACTGGGAGGGTACCGTATTCTTGGAAAAATGCTAACACATCTTAGTACATTAGACAGGAGCTGACAAGGACTTCAATGACAGGCCGATCAGCTTGCTCTCCGTCGTATACAAGCTGTTTACAAAAGTAACTGCTAAGATAATTGAGACATTAGAATTCAATCAACCAAAGGAACAAGCACGATTACGAAGAGGCTACTCTACAATAAACCTCATTCATACTATCAATCAGGTAATAGAGAAATCCTCAGAATACAGCCAACCACTATACATAGCTTTCGTAGATTACGACAAGGAATTTGAATCAGTAGAAACATCAGTAGTCATGCAGACGCTGCGGAATCAGGGCGTCGATAAAGTATGTATTAACATCCTGGAAGAAATCTACAGATGATCAACTGCCACCATAGTCCTCCATAAAGAAAGTGACAGAATACCAATCAAGCAGGGTGTAAGACAAGGGGATACAATCTCCCCATTGTTATTCGCCGCCTGCTTACAGGAGGTTTTCGGAGGCCTAGATTGGGACAGTTAGGGATAAAATATAATGGAGAGTACCTTAGAAACCTGCGCTTCGCCGATGACATTGCATTGCTGAGTAACTCAGGGGACGAATTGCACCTGATGATTACTGAATTACAAGGAGAGCAGAAAGGTAGGTTTTAAAATTAATCTGCAGAAAACGAAAGTAATGTACTACAACCTTGAAGGAGAAGAGTGCTCCAAGAAAGGTAATATTGCACTTGAAGTTGTAAAAGACTGCGTCTACTTAGGACAGGTAGTAACCACGGAGCCAAACCATGAGATTTAACTAGAAGAATAAGAATGGGGTGAAGCACATTCGGCAAGCACTCTCAAATCATGATTGGTAGATTGCCAATATGCCTTAAGAGGAAAATATATAACAGCATCTTGCTGGTACTTGCGTATACGGAGCAGAAACCTGGAGGCTAACAAAGTGGATTCAGCTTAAATTTAGGATGACTCAGTGAGCGATGGGAAGGAAAATGATAGGTGTAACCTTAATAGAAAAGAAGTGAGCAGAGTGGATCGGAACAAATCGGGATAATGGATATCATAGTTGAAATCAAGAAGAAGAACTGGGCATGGGCCGGGCATATAGCGCGTAGGCAGGATAACCGCTTGTCATCAAGGATAACTGCCTGGATTCCCAGAGAAGGCAAGCGGGTTAGGGGGAGAGAAAGGTGGGCAGATGAGATTAGGAAGTTTGCGGGTATAGAGAAGGAGCAGCAAGCAGAACACCGAGTTGTCTGGCGGGGCATGGGAGAGGGCTTTGTCCTACAGTAGACGTAGTCAGTATTATGATGACGACGACGACGACGATGATATGTCAATAATGAAGCAAAGGGCGGTGGCTCAGCTATCGCTATGTCTACATCAAGCACAAGGAATGAATAACAGGTGTTGAATATTCATCACGTTAGACAGATGATGAGTATTCACTTATTTTCTTCCTTAATATGCAAACGTTCAAGTACAACGTTTTCACAGTTCGCAACTCTGCCGCACCATGCGTTCCAGTCAGTGTTACCGCCTTTTCGATATTTTTTTAGCAGCGACATTTTGTAACTATGAGATTGTTTTCTTGGCGTCTTTCATAATCATATGGTGGTTTTGGGACGTTAAACCCCACATGTCAAACGAGTGTTTTCTTCAATAGTGTTTCGCAATAGGAAGTACAAGGCTTGTGTGAATTTTGTTTCAAGCGGTGCAAATCTAGGGGCGCTTCCCGCTGCGGTGACATGCGACTTGTACGATTTTAATTTTAATTGGTTAATATTGCCAGAGAAAAAGCCAGTTCAGACGCTTTGACGCTGTTCCACAGTTGAGAATATGCAGCTGTCGCGTGCGTACCGTTGGGTTCATTATGCAATACTCTACGAGGCCCACGCCACTTATTTCGATATTACGGACATTCGAATCGGCTCTTCAAGAGCTTATGCTAACTGACGTCCACCAGTACAGATGAAACCTAAACAGGAGATTTTTCAAAGGCTGGCGAGACATGTTTAACAAGTTTTTTATGTAAGGTAGTAATTATGGCTCGAATTCCTAACCATTGTACTGTTACAAATAAGGTACCTTAGAATAGAGAAAATGTTATCGCGCTGCAGAAATTAGCCGGTTATGTGCAACAAAATTTACTTACAGGTGTATTCTGTCAGTCCCGATATAAACTCATTTCATGCTATCTCTGCAGTTTATAGCAAGTAGTTTTCAATCCAAGACTAATCTCGATGCAAAGTACTCACAGGCTGATTAAGAAATGGCTGGATGACACCTCCGACTCCAAATATGGTCTGAGCAACTCCGGTAGCAAGAGCCCGGACATTGGTGGGAAACACCTCGCTCAGGTAGATTATGTTGATGTTAATCACATTTCCAATGCACAGCCGACCGGCAAGCATTAGTATACTTTCCGTGATGTTGTACTCTGGTGAGAGACGGAACATATTTCAGGCCAAAGCATCAATCAAGAGACAGAAACAGCAAATGGCTTCCCTGAAATCTTAACATTAATCGCTCTAAATTTTACGCCTTGTCGCTTACATTGTGCCAACTTGAAATTTATTCGATCTTGTCAGCTAGAACTTATATATATAGTGTTTAGTTGCGCTAGGTTATCAGTTTTATACTGTGAAATCGGCCAAAACTAACTATTGTGCGCAGCAGCCTCTTTCGTTGCCTCTCAGCGTTAAACTATAGAACGAAGTTACAAAAAATTGCATCATGAACATGTGCTTTGTGGGCATGCACTTGTACTCACCGTTTTTGAAGCTTTATATAGTCGTATGGCATAGATACAAAAAAAAAACTGCCACTCATGCATGATAGTTATAGATTTGGCCGACTGTACATACCTTACAGACGAGTAGTGGGTGTTACTCGTGAACTTTTATTTAATCAACTTCAGCATCACAATAAGGCTTACGTAGGCTTTCATTTATACTCACGCCGACACAGACAATTTTGCACCAGCGCTTATAAACCAAAAAAATATTTATTGATCAAAGGGCGGGGGTGGGGAGTGGCATGCCTTTTCCTCTACCTGCGGAGACTACTTACGAGAACTGACAAAAATATATCATGCGAGTCATCTCTTTGAATAAAAAATGACCTTACTGGATTACAACCCCTATCTCATATTTGAAGGTGTGAGATCAAAAGGCGTGAAGTAGAAAACCGATTACGCGAGATATTTGTAAGTAAGAGCATTGAAAGAAATATAAGCAATAGGACAATATTATAATTACTGCTAGGGTTTCCCTTCCCCAAACCATCAAACCATTGTTTAAATAAGGAGACACGGCGCATATACCTTGTTGAAGCATTGGCGCCAGCGTGGTTTCTATTCTATTCCGCGAACACACACAGACACACACACACTATATATATATATATATATATATATATATATATATATATATATATATATATATTACATTTGGCCATCGCTTCAAAGGTGGCATCTTTCAGAGGTCTTGAACTCTGGCTCATCGCAGGTAGAAGTAATGCCTCTGGCGGGCTGCATTTGCGGCCTCGAAGAGGCTGATCACGGCCGTGCAGTCTTTTGGCTCGCTGAACTGCCAACGCTGCCTCTGGCAGTCGGCCTTGGTTGGTGCATGCCGGAAGGTGTCTTGACACGGAGGAAGGAAAGGTAAGGAGAGGACATGCCCAGCCGGCGCAGGCCGTAAAAAAGGTGGCGGAAATGACATCATGGCGGCCATATTCACCAGGCACAATGGTGGCATTGCTATGGTTACGTGTTGCGCAGTGGAGCTGGTCTAGCAGTGAGCGGCCGCGGCTGGCGGCGGAATATGTGCCTTCCCAGGTCTCGTGCTAATCCGTGGCAGACAAAACCTGGGCTCTGTGCCGTGTTATTGGTTACGCAGTGTTCTTCTGGCAGTTACATTACTCGTAGCAACGTTTACAAATCCCTTTGTCCATCACGGGGTTTTAACAGTGCGTAGAACAAGTGCATATCCATGTGTCGTGCGGCGGATGATGCGGATGAAGCAGTTAGTGTTCAGCGACGTTGCGTTGGGCACCATGACGAAGCTGAATGAAGACGAACGCCTTGCATGTCAGTGATGGTTGAGCAGTGCTCCTGCTTGTGACAACGGACGACGCTGTTGAGCCCAGCAAGGCGCCGTGAGGACCATGTGCACATACGTAGTTTCGTGTTGTGTGTGTACAGTAACAACTTGCATGTGCGTATTAAAACACCTTTTCTGTTCGGCTTGGTACACTCTCCACCAGCATTGCATGTAATCTCAACGTAACAGCAACCGCGTTGAACTGTCGCTAGCACCGTGCTCAAAGTCACCATGGTCGCAGAATGCTGACGCCGGTGAGTTTCACGCGGAACACGGACACAGTGGCAGGACGCTGCGTCGGTCGCGTGGCAGAATGCAACCGTAGAAGGCGCATGACGGATCGTGTTGTCTGTAAAGTTGCTGAATTAATGACGTGAAAGCACTCGCCGTTGTCAGTGCACCTAGCGCACGTTCTCTCGTAGTTGCTTCGTTGTCGGCAAGCTGTTACTCCCTGTTATTACTCGGACGAAGCGATTTTGCTGAAGGTGTGTCGCTGGCTCAGAGGGATGAGCCCAGTTCCATTAGTTTCGGATCGTCACGACACACGCGCTGCGCAGCCCACGTGCTTTCCGAGCCGGAGAGGGAGTCGCGCCTTCTGCTTTGCATTCATATGTAAACAAGAGAGCAGAATTAGCCTAGTCAATATGGCCGATTTCCGGCTTCATCGCGGCTTCACAACGAGTGACGTCAGGGCCTCTCTTTACTTTTCCTTCCTCCGTGTGTCTTGATAAGAAACCTTCAAAGAGGTAGGGAGGGTGGCACTGGCTGCATCGCTGCGGCCGTTGTCGGTGACAGGGGAACATTTAGTGGGAAGCTGCCAAACGTACATCTGACTGTGGGCTTAGGGTGTGTCTCGGAGTCAGTGACGGACGTCGCATGCCTGAAGAAGGTTGCCTCAACGGCATCCGTGAAGGCACACCACGTGTTTTGGCTGGCCTGTCTAGCTCTGGCTTCTTCCAAGATAGTCGAAGTCCTGTCAACAGGCTCTAGCATTATGGAGAGAGACACTTTTATACACTTGTGCAGGAGAGTCTTGTCACTCAACCGGATGTGATTGGGTGTGCGTTCGGTCAAGAAATGCCGTCGAATCAGAAGTAGTGGCTCCGGTGGGTTTGCGAGTATAGTAGTGCGGGCCATGTGTCCTTCCGGTACCTTCGCGCAGACACCAGCACCCCTTGTGCCCGGAGGGTCCTTCGCGAAGGTAGTCGTCTCTGGCAACGTGGCAGAATTCAAGCTCTGTGGTGTAAAAACCAGCTCGCGGCCGGGGCAGCTATCTGCGCGGCGGCCTGCGTTGCTCTCGTGGGGGTGGCTACGGGTATGTATAGTGCCGAGGTTGTCACGTGAAATTCATCCTGAGCTCAACGATGGTTGCCTTGGGCTTCGCGGGTGCTTTCACTGCTGGGGCGCCAAGCACGAGAGCAGCTGTGTATGCTCTAGCGATGGTGAATCTGGTGCCAGATTCTCCAACTGCGCTGGAAATCGACTGATCTTGGCCTCTCTCAGTGATGTTACGACGTCGAGTACTGGCGCCGAGGAGCCGAGCACATGCTACATGCTAGCCGCGCACGCGCCCATGTACGAGCCCCGCTATGTCTTCATCGCATTATATATATATATATATATATATATATATATATATATATATATATATATATATATATATATATATATATATATATATATATATATTGTGAGACCACGTCCGGTACGGCAGCAACCAGGTTATCTTTTTTTAATCCAGACGCACGAGCCAGAGAGCCAGCCCGCGTGACATACGATGATGATCACTACAATGGTTTTGTCGTGCAGATGAAGATGAAGTACATAGTCAGCGCTCACACTATTTCCCCCCTTCGCGAAAGAGGGCAGCAAGTTAGAAAGGGTTGGGACACTGAATATGTTGTTTAGTCGAGAGACGTGGGCGATCTCGGTGTGGCCGCGACGGTGATCAGGAGCCGCGTTGACAGGAGCAACGCGATAGTTGACTTCAGATGTTCGTTCCAGGACGGTGTATGGACCGAGATATCGTTGGAATTTTTCGCAGAGCCCAGGTACACGAACAGGTGTCCACAAAAGGACTTCGTCGCCTGGGCGGAACACAACAACTCGACGCTTCGCATCAATGTCGATTTTTCTCTTGTCCTGAATGGTAGCAGTGTTGGCGCGGGCGATTTCACGGCAGCGGGCGACGTGAGCGGCGAACTCTTCCGGGAGAGATGAAGATGGATGGGGAGATGTGGACAAAAAGGTGGTGTCCAGAACAAAAGTCGGCACACGGCCATACACGAGAAAAAAAGGGCTGAAATTCGTCGTACGCTGTATGGCAGTGTTATATGCGAACGTGACGAAAGGAAGTATTGTGTCCCAGTTTTTCTGATCCGGTTGCACGTACATAGAGATCATGTCGGACAAAGTTCGGTGAAAACAATCAGTCAGACCATTAGTTTTTGGATGATACGCTGACGTGGTCTTGTGAATGGTGTTAGGCGCCTGTAAGACTTCAGCAAGGACATGTGAAAGAAATGTCTTGCCACGGTCACTAAGGAGCACACGCAGTGCGCCATGTCGTAAAATAATGGCGCGAAGGAAAAAATCGGCTACTTCAGAGGTAGCACCAGATGAAAGAGCTGCCGTCTTCGCGTAGCGAGTAAGGTGGTCTACGGCAGTAACAATCCAACGATGACCGGCTGGCGTAAGCGGGAGAGGTCCGTATAAGTCTATGCCCACAAAATCAAAGGGAGTGGACGGGCACGGCAGTGGTTGCAATGGCCCCGCGGGAAGAGACGTGGTACGTTTTCGGTGCTGGCATGTCGCGCAGGAAGCGACGTACTTGGCGACAGAAGTGGAGAGGCCAGGCCAAAAGCAGCGAGTTTTGAGGCGGTCGTAGGTCTTGTGGAACCCTAAGTGGCCAGCTGTCGCATCGTCATGAAACGCTTGTAGAACTTCCAGACGAAGTGAGCGAGGAATGACGGGAACCCATTGGTTACCGAGAGGATGGTAAATTTGCCGACATAATGTTCCCTCTTGAAACGGGCAAGTTGTCTTAGGCGGCTGTTTGGAGCACGCGATAAGCCTGTGAGCCGATAGATGATTGTGCGGCAGTAGGTGTCGGCATGTTGGAGCGAGGCGAGATCTGTGGACGAAAGAAGGTCCGCCGAGGAAACTAACGGTTTCGAAGCAGCAGCCGTTTGTTTGGTCACTATGGTGGGCGGTGACGAACAGATGGAAGGTGACACTTCGGCGCTTTGCGAGAGCGGGCAACGTGACAAAGCGTCGGCATCTTGGTGCTCTCGACCCAACCTATACGTGACACTGTAGTCATACTCTTGCAATCGTA